TTTCTTTTCTTTTTGTTTGAGAAAGATTGGCCCTGATCTGACATCTGTGCCAATCTTCCTCTATTTCTTACATAGGGTGTCAACACAACACGGCTTGAGGAGCTGCGTGTAGGTCTGTACCTGGGATCCAAACCCATGAACCCCAGGCCACCAAAGTGGAGCTTAACCTCTGTGCCACCGACCGACCTCTACTACAAGTTTTTTGAATTCACTAAATGTTAAAATTTTATTCAATCTTTTAGCTACTATTTAATTAAGTTGTTACTTCTTGGCATTACATTATATTCTATTACTGATATTAGATGACAAAGGACTAGAAAGGATCTGAAAGTAGTATTTTTGAGATCACCTTAAGGATAGAATAGAAATGATAATAACAGCAAACCTATCTATGGGTTGTCTAAACATTAAACATCAAATAGTGAGCAACGAGGTGGGATGCAATTCCAGCAGTCTAGCTCTGAAGTCCATATTCTTAAACACTACTGCATCAAAAAATACATGTGTGATAAGCAATTTAAAGGAAAATTTAATTGTAACTATTTCTGCTGCCCTTACTAGTGGGTTGTAGTGAGGGAATTCATTAATTCATATCAGTGAAAATGTTATTCCTAGATGAAATCGTTCTATTTAGGGATCTGATAGGGGGAAAGAAAAGAAAGGCTTGTCCAGGTCTCCAGCACTTCTAAACAATGAGTTCCCCAGTGATGGGTATTTGTTTAAATCTAGAGCTGATTAGGGAGTAGAGAGATAAACTCAATTGCATGATAAAGTGGAAGAAATGAATATTAAAGATGTTGCCCAGAAAACAGAAGAGCAGGAAGAACAAATCAAGTTGAGAGAGAGACAATACCTTATGATCTAGCAATTCCATTACACGTATACACTCAACAGAAAGGTATGTATGTGTTTACCAAATGGTGCGTGTATGGAAGACCATAGGAGCACTGTTTGCAATATCCCAAATTCTAAACTACTCAATGCCTAACAGTGATGGAAGATTTTAAAAATTATGACATATTATTACACTGGAAAACTGTATAGCAGTGAAAGACAATGAAAAAACACTGCATACAACAACATGGATGAACCTTACAAATCTAATATACTAAACAAAGACAAAAGAGTAAATACTGTGTGATTTCACATACATAAATTTGAAAAACAAGATAATTTAGTCTATATGATTATAGACTAGAATCATATTTCTACTGGGCTGGAGGGGTGGTCGTGACTGAGTTTGAACTTAAAGGGAGGACCCAGTAAAGTTCTGTTCTCGACATTGTTGTTTATTTCAGTGATGACTACATGGTTGTCATCACTTTGTAAAAAGTTTTTTTTTTTTTTTTAAAGATTTTATTTTTTCCTTTTTCTCCCCAAAGCCCCCCGGTACATAGTTGTGTATTCTTCGTTGTGGGTTCTTCTAGTTGTGGCATGTGGGACGCTGCCTCAGCGTGGTCTGATGAGCAGTGCCATGTCCGCACCCAGGATTCGAACCAACGAAACACTGGGCCGCCTGCAGCGGAGCGCACGAACTTAACCACTCGGCCACGGGGCCAGCCCCTGTAAAAACTTCTTACAGCAGTTACTTCTGATTTGAGCTTTGTTTTTCATGTAAGTTGTATACAAAAAAAATGTGTTTACAGAAAATTATCATCCAATTAAAAATTTCACAAAATTAAAGAACCACAATGAGCCAAAAGGCTAAGATTCTGGAATGCTGAGAGCCCCGGGGAGCTTTTTGCAGCTTCTTTTTCCCTGGGGTTTTGAGGACGCTGAGACACTCGAATTGGAAGGTGAATCAAGGCAGTTGGTCAACGCTGGGCTGCAGAATGAGTAGAGTGTTTGGCTTTGTGTCTTCCAAAAATTCATTAATATTTCTACTTAGGGAAGGACTCATTTCATTTTTACAATTTTCTTGTGTGTTTATTATTTCAATATATCATCCTTGATATTTAATGATATTTTCAGATAATCAGTATTGCTGGATGTCCATTAAATTTTATTTTCCTTTAGATTCATTTGTGTTTAGTCCCGTAAATTTTGTTTTGAGGATTTATATTTTACTCCTAGGAATATTTTTTCTCATGGAAGGTATTCTTAGATTTTTTTAAAAGATTTTTATCTTTCAAAGTCTTTTTATTTTATCTACTTGCCAATTCTTATGCTTATTTTCTTTGTTGGTTATTATAGTATTTTAACAAAATTAAATGTCACACACTGAATGCTAATTCTTTATCAGTTTTTAACAACCTGAAAACTTTTCCACCACAAAACTATAGTTAATTTGATGATTCATAGTCTGTCTAACAAATGTCATAATAGAAAGATAAACATTCTCCTAAGTATTTTTTGGTATTTAAATTTACAAAACAATTCTTCTATATAAATGTCACATCCCTATAGAAAATATATCTGATTCTTTCATAATCCTCAAATCTTCTTTTATATGATTTTTTAAACCAATTTTGTACTCACTGCTACATAAGTTATTGATATTTTTACCAAGAGAAAGGGCATGGAAATTACGAAATATTTTATATACTAACAACTTCATTGTCTAAAATTGGATATAATTTTTTTGGTTATGTACCTACTGTTTCTAAGTATTGTGTATGTGTGCATGCATGTGTATGTGTGCATGTGTGTGTATGTGTATGTTTAAGCATCATCTACTAATATGCTTCATTATGGGCAGTGTTTTCCTAATGAGAAGTTGAAAATATTTTTCTGCATGTAAAACACGAAATTCTTTTCCTCTCATATGGTAATTCACAGCATTATTAGTATTTCTGTCTAAGGGGAGGATGGAGAATAAACAGTTATACTTGAGTTTCACATAGTTCTATTATTAGTATATCTTATAAAAATGGTAAACAGACACACAGGTACATTTTGCTTCGGGCTGTGAGTAACAATGTGGTTTGGAATCACATTCCTCTTATAAACATCTTCAAAATTGGACAGAATATTGGAAACTTTTTTCCTGACATCAGACAAGAGGCGGTGTAGCTATGATTCTTAAGACGTGGGAAGCTCACAAAGTGAGCTCCACAGTTCGCCAGAGCTTTGGGGCATGGAAATATCCACACAGCAGCTGAGAGAGGAGGAACTCAAATAAAAACTTGCAATCTTGCTGAGTGGAGCAGATAAAGCTCAAAGTTGAGGGAGAAGGAGATACTGAGAAGAGTTCCAAAAATCTGCATAAGTTTGGCCTTGAGGCTTTGGCACGAATAAGATGAAATTCCAGAAGGAAAGGCTCAGAAAATCCTGAAAAAGAATTATGAAGCAATTATAATCCAAACAATTCTCAGAGCTCACAGAGGGTGGCAAAACTTTCGGATCTCCACAGGCTAGAGTAGAGTAGCTGTGTTAAATACAGCAGCATTCATGGGAGATCACTATGCTTGCAAAAATAAATTAAACCTAAAACAAAATACTACCCTATCTTGGGGCTGGCCTGGTGGCACAGCGGTTAAGCTTGTGTGAGCCACTTTGGTAGCCTGGGGTTCCATCGTTTGGATCCTGGGCGTGGACCTACATACCACTTATCATGCCATGCTGTGTCAAGCGTCCCATGTATAAAATAGAGGAAGATGGGCACAGATGTTAGCTCAGGGCCAATCTTCCTCAGCAAAAGAAAAAAGAAGAAAAACAAAGAGGAGGATTGGCAGCAGATGTTAGCACAGGGCTAATCTTCCTCAAGAAAAAATATTGCTAACCCTTCAAAAAGAAAATGTACTTAAAATTAATTATCTTTCATATGATCTTTACCAGCTCTTGGACTTAATGTGTAATCTTGTATAAAATTTTGGGAAATATTTGTTTATTATTCAGAGAATTTTGCAAGAAGAAGAATTTTTATTGCTGGAATTTTGAAATTGTTCATCCATAAAATTGTCTTCAACTATAAAATTTGACGTCATATCTTCTAAAGCAAATCTATTTTTCAAAATTCTGGCATTTGTGTAATATGCTCACTTTAATAACATTAAATAAAAGATGAGAATATCCCACATTTATGCTGTTTTCAAAACTCTTCCTTTCTGAATAATTGTACGGAAACAAACGTGTTTCCCAGAGGTATTAACATGTTATAAGATATAAGACTAGATTGTTATAGCACAAATTGAATTTGTATATTATCTCACTTTAAAAATATTAATTGCTTAAAAAGCAACAACAAAAATCAAGCTCATAGATATAGAGAACAGATGGGTGGAGGCAAGAGGCAGGGGTGAGGAGTGGTCAAAATGGGTGAAGGGATTCAAAAGGTACAAGCTTTCAGTTATAAAATAAATAAGTCCTTGGGATGTAATGTGCAGCATGGCGGCCATAGTTAATAATATAATATCGCAATTTTGAAAATTGCTAAAAGAGTAATCTTAAATGTTCCCATCATGAGAAAAAACTTCCGCAGCTAGGTATGGTGACGGATGGTAACAACAATTATTGTGGTGGCCATTTCAAAATATATATAAATATTGAATCCGAATGTTGTAAAGTATTAATACCATATCCAATAATTGGTATCTCTAATTGAACAATTTCCAATTTTTCAATAATGATTGGCCTGAAGGATCCATCTGTGTCCAAACACCTCTATTTCACTTTAGAAGTGATGACTAGACAAAGGACTTCTGGGAGGCAATTGACAAACTCTGTTTCGGTGTTGGCTGCATGTTCGAATATTGAAGATTTCTCTATGAAGTAGGAATCTTGTTTGGGAAAGGAGAGATTCCAGAGAAACTGAACATGATGTCTGAAGGAGGGAGGTAGACAGGACAGAACTGAGCCCATCAGAGTATCAGGCAGGGAGCCACTGAGCAACGAAGGGCAGAATCAGTAGCCCTCCGCCAAATGCTACTAACAGCACAGTCAAACGTCCTCCACCATGGTCAAGTGGAATTTATCGCTGGGATGGGAGGATGGTTCGGTCAGTAAATGACAGGCACCACATTCATAGGAGGAAAAGGTAAAAGTCACATGCTCTTCTCCATTGAAGCAGAATCAGCATTTCCCAGAGTACGCATGTTTTGATCATAAACACTCAACAAATTGAGCCTAGAAAGAACGTACCTCCACAGACTAAGAGCCACCTGTGACCAGCCCACAGCTACCATCATGCACAATGCTGAAAGGATACCAGCTCTCCCTCCAAGATCAGGAACAAGACGAGGGTGCCCCCTCTTCCCAGTCCCATGACACAGGGAGAGGCCATCTGGTCAGAGGAAACACGAAATTGGCCACTGACCACATCCAAGTCTCAGGAGTGAACTGGCATCGCTTTGCCGTCCTCGGTGGAATCGCTCAACTGAGTCCCCACTCAAGAGGAGGGGTTATACCAGGAGGTCTAGACCAGGAAGTCCTGATCCCGGGTGGCCAGTGAGGGGAGAAGGAGAAGACCCCAGAACTTCAATGCCTTGCCCAGAATCCCAGATGACGAAGAAGGTGGAGCCAGGGAGGAAGCCAGCTCTGCGTCCTCAAGGCTGGGGCTCTGGCTGCACACAGGCATTCCCCGGGGGCTCTGGAGAAGGCTGTGTTGGTGGAAGTGCATACAGATCTGGAGATGGTGTGGGGGTGAGGGGGAGCATTCGGCAGTGTAGATGGGCATTTGCTCAGTTCTTGTTTGAGGAGGAGCCCGGGTCAGGGGCACCCTTGACTGTAGCTCTGCCCACCTCACACCCACGGTGGAGGGAGTGGTGGCCACCTCTCTGCTGAGCTCATGCCTATGCAGTCCTGAATTGAATGTCTCACTGGGAAATTGGGAAACTGAGGCCCCTAGAGGGGTAGGGAACGGCCCATGACAGGGTGAGTCCAGTGGGTAAGTGTGTGTTCTGACCTTCTAGCGCAAGACTGGAACCCCACCCGGAGGGTTGGCTTCTGAAACTAGGAACCATGAGATCTTGAGAAGCTCTTGCCAATCCCTCCCTATTGTGGGAGCTGTTTTCTTCTTGGCCTCCACAACCTGAGCACACAAACACACAAACACACACACACACACACACACACACACGCACACACACCTTGACCTTGGATGCAAAAATGGCCTCTAAGGTGGGATCCTAAGAGAAGTAGACACAGGGCAAGTTGCAAGAGGAAGAAACACGAAGTGGGAGGCATTGCCTGCCAGTGACACACGCCTCCAGTTTGAGAGGTGTTGTCCTCTAAGGTAGGACACATGCCAGAGGACATCTCTAGCAAGTCCACGCTCCAGTCCTCCCCAGTGTGCAGACAGGAGGCCGACAGGCCCTGAGAGACACAAGGGCTTATGCAGGATGCAGAACAGGTAAGAAAGAGGAGTTGTTTCTGCGTCAGTCTCCAAGCTGGGACCTCGGCTGCACCCTCACCCTCTAGGGAGCCTGGGAGACGGGTGTGTTGGTGTTCCTGGGTACGCATACGACGTCGCGTGGAGAAGGGGTGTGAGCAAGGCCATGGCCAGAGGACTGTTTGCATGGGTGGTATCTGAGGGGGGCACTCAGGTAAGGGCACTGCAGGAAATGAGGTCACTTCCTTGACAACAGGCCCCGACAGAACTTGGAACCCCCGCAACAGGGCAGCAACATGCGCAAAGCCAGCTCACTTGGCTGGAGACCCTTGATAGAGAAACATGTTCTCCTGCTTTCTCCCGCCTGACCAGGGCTCTGGTTCCCGGAAACCCCGGAGGGAGAACCTTTGGAGACGTTGTGGACGCTGGCTCAGCTCCCATGCCCCCCACCGCTGGACCTTTGGCAGGAGGTCCTCTCAGGTAACATGAGGAAGCCTAGATCAGCCCGATCTAGGCCAGACCAGCTCCCCGAGCCCTCCCAGGGCAGCCCTCTTCCCGTCCTCGTGAGTGTGGGGGCCAGAGGGACATGTGGGCAGGATCTGCCCTTGGCCGGAGAAGGTTGGTGGGCAGTGGATCACCTGCTTTTCCCATCACGTTCCCAAGCCAGGACGGGGCTGTCAGGACTGAAAGGGGACTCCTAAGGGGCCTCCTAATCACAGGCCCTCAGGCTGCCATGTGTTACCCTCCTGGGTGGAGGTCTGTGTGGACTGTGGGGCGGGCTATGTGTGTCCAGAGTGGAGAGAGTCACAGAGGGGTGAGAGCCAGCAAAGACAGCCAGTCGGGTCTCTGAGGCTTGCCGCCTGGCTGCCGGGCACTGTCTTTCCAGAGCGTCACTCAGGAGACGGGCCAGCAGCTGAGCAACGGCGCCCTCGACTCCATCACCCTGCAGGAAAGGAAGGTGCCCCACACTGCCAACTGAGGCCAGGGCCGGCTCAGGGTGAGTGCAGGTGCCGGGGAGACCCAACCCCCAGGGCCCCCAAGACAGCGCTGAGGACCCCAGGTCTTCGAAGGCCCTGAGACAGGCCCGGGGCTCCTGCCTGGAGCCCTGCTCCCAAAGGAATCTGAATCCCCATCTCTTCCCCCAACCTTCCCCTGCGGGCCCGGCCCCTGTCTTGGCCAGAGGAGACGTCCCTGTCCACAGGGGTGTAGCAGTGAAGAGACATTTCTAGCACATCAGCTCACGGGCATTCAAGAGCACATTCGTGTTTGGTAGAGATTTTCCTGTTTCAACTCCCAGGCTCATATGTCCACGTGGCCTGACAATCCTTCCCCACCGTCTCCCAGTCGGACGCAGCCTCCTGATGGATAGGCATGCTTTTGCCCAAAAGGACATGGGGCTCACAGTGTTCTTTCTGTTCTTCTGCCTTTGCTGTCCAGAGGAACACGTCCATGTGGCCTCTCGTGGTCAGGGCGTCGGGCCTCAGCAGGCTGCACAACTTTCCAGAAGGGAGACCCGTTAGCCCCGTGATTCAGCCCTTCACTGAGCCGGCACCTTCTGTTGCCATTTCCACAGCACCGCCCTGGTCACCCTGCCTGTCCTCCTGTCCTGCTCCCTCCCAGCTCACGAAAAGCCTCTGTGCTCTCCTCTCTAGAATGGGCCGTCGGTCAGCCACCCCAGGGATGATGCTCTTCATCCAGGGAGGGGCTGTCACTTCTCTGCCAGCACAAAGACCTAGGAGACCAAGAGCTTGAATCCTTCTCCACCTCACATCCTACTTGGAATCCCGAGAATTCTTCCCTGCCCTGGGCAATGATTCCCACTTCTGGCCACAAGTCACCGAGGGCTTGGGCATTCGGTCTGACCTCCAGGCCCCGACACTCCTGGGGCCCAGGAGTGGTGCGGCCTCTGATGGCAAGTGCCCCCTCTGTCCGACCCCAGGCTGAAAATCCATCCCGAGCGAAGAGCAAAGCGTCCCGCCTGGTGTGGACCGTGCAGGCTGCAACGCGGCAGAATCGAGTGGAGCACCTGGTGCCCGCCTTCCTGGATGGCGACACCGCCAATGTCCGCAGCTTCCTGTGCACATACAGAGGTTTTGCCACCACACAACAGGTGCTGGAGCTTCTGTTTCAAAGGTGAGTGCCGTGCCCCTCCGCAGCACCGTGGGCATTCAGCCACCTACTAGCTGTGAGCCTTGGGAGCCTCTCGGAGCCTCGGTTTGCTCTCTGCAAGGCGGGGTGAACAGAGGATCAGCCTCCAGGGGATATTGTAGGGACTCAAGGAGGTGCTGCCTGCAAAGGCTTCTCGAGAAGCCTAGCCCTCTGGGAGGGTCGACTGGAGCGGGGGCTGTGGTTGTGCTCATTGAGGATACTCCTCTTCCCTATGGCGAAGCCTCTGCCTCATCCCTCACCGTCCCCGGGACTTGGACGGAGTTGTCGTCTTCTCATTGGAAAAGGAGACGGGAGAGCCCTTCTAGGTCCCTGACCTGGGTGAAGCCAGAGCAGCCATCCCTGGGCTGAGCCGAGGCCCCCGACCCGCCCAAGCAGGAGTGAGGGGCCGGTTGGAGCTCCCTCCTTCATCACACACAGAGAGAGGTCCCCACTAGGTGCAGAACGTTTTCTAGGCACCGACCATAATCCCGTGCACAGAGCGGGCGGCAGCCGTGCCCTCCGGGGCTCCATTCTCGTCGGGAGTCAGACAGCGCCGCTAGGCTTCTCAGGCAGGCCTGATCCACAGTCCAGTCCGTGTGACGTCCTCCTGTGTCTTCTAGATACGGTTGCGTCCTTCCTCACTGCGATGAGGACGGCGGACCCCTGGACCAACTGAAAAAGTGAGTGGGCTTTGGAATCCCTAGGAGGGCGCCCAGCGTCCACACTTGGAGGGCAGTTGCCTGCAGCGTCCCGCTCACTCATCTGCTAGAACCTCAACAGCGGGTGCTCAGCTCCTGCTCAGGGGGCTCGGGGAGTGCTCCGGGGCCACATAAGCCCCTCCCTGGTAGAGATTCGGGGCAGGGGAGCATGACCCTCATGGGACACTTGGTGAACTGGGCAGCACGTAGGCCCAGGAGGGAAAGCTGGAGGCAAGAGGACGGCCCTGGGAAGCCTGGGCGGGAGACAATGTCCGCTGTTCCCTCCCTGGTCAAATATTCTGGGAGCAGCTCCTGTGTGCCAGGGAGGGCAATGAAAAGAGGGGACCGCACCGTTCCCTGCCCTCACGGAGCTGACGTTCCAGTGGGCAGTGGGCAGAGAGATGCTCCAAGCAGTGTGTCAGGCTTCCCTGAGGACTAGGAGTGGTGACGCCACCATCGCACAGGGCTCTCCCTTCCAAAGGCCTTTTCCTAGCCCCTCCATGGTGACCTGGCCCACCTCTGCCAAGACTGCCAGATTGGAGGTGGACGCCAAGTAGGACTGGCCCCTGGACAGCCAGGAGCGGGAGGCCCAGGAGCCCAGGCCCGCACAGAGCTGCGCGGGAGGCCAGTGTGCAAGGAAACGACCCTTCTCTGACTCTGCTGCCCACCTGTCCGTCCTCAGGGCCATCTCCTTCATTCTGGGCACCTGGCTCCAACGGTACCCTGAGGATTTTATCCAGCCCCCAGATGTTCCCAGCCTGGAAATGCTCTTGGCCTACGTTGGCCTTAATATGCCCGGCTCGGAGCTGGAGCACCGTGCCCGCGTTCTTCTTTCCCAGCTGGAGCACCCTGAGCACACTGATGCCGAGACTGAGGCTGAGGAGGACTCAGGTGTGTGATGTGGGCATGTGCACAGGGGATGGCGCTGCGCCCCCCAGAGCAGAGTCTCCAGAGGCTGGGGTTCGGCTGGGAGCAAGGGGCGGGCTCAGATCACTCTTCCCGCGGACTCCACTCTGGGAAGCCTTTCGGGGGCTTGCTTCTTGGACTGAGACTCCTTCAGTGGCGGCAGAGGCTTCCTTCCTTTGGAGCGACTTGGGCAGGCGGTCATGTTGGTGGCATTTTCTCTTCTTCCCTCTCCAGCTGCAGCTCCACCGAAAGATCCAGAAGACCCTGCACATCGAGCACCATCTCTCCCTCTCGTGCCCACCCCAGCTCAGAGCCGCACAGGCATCTTCCGAGCCACAGCCGGCTCAAGACCTTCAGCAAGCACTTGCAGCATCCCAGCCACTACCCTCAGCTCCTGAGCTGCAGCCCCGGAGAATCCTTGCCTTCCCCTATCCATTGCGTGGTTCTTAAAGTTTTGTGTTTGGCTTTTCTTTACTTGACCTTTCCCTGTATTTTATCTCGTCAGTTCAATAAAGTTTAATTCTTGGATGTTTTTAAATTGTTCGCTGAAGTGGCATGAAGTACACTCACAAGATCACACCAACGTCATCCTCATCTAGTTCCCGCCCATTTTTATCCAAGAGAAACCCTGTCCCTGGGAAGCAGTCAGTCTCCCTTCTTCCCACCGCAAGTCCCTGGTAGCCACTGCGTTTCCTTCTCTCGGACTCCGCGCGTTTCCCTCCTCCGGAGTTTGCCTGGAAGTGCCAGCCTTCCAGAGGTGGCCTTCTGTGCCTGGCTGGGTCTGGTGTGAGGTGGGTGACTCCAGATGTTTTAATTTGAAATAACAGTTTTCATTAAGAAGAAAAATCCCCCGGAGATCAAAGATTCTGTCTCAAAGAGGATGCCCCGCTATTCCCTCTTTTCACTTTCTGGGGATGGGGACCCACTGGAGGTGTGACACCGGAGCTGGAAACAACGAGGGAAATTTCGGGGCCCGGGAGACCCCTTTCAAATCTTTCCCTTTCCTGGATGGGCCATGGTAACGTTTTCAAAATGTGCAAATTGTAAAAATATTCTCACCGCATATGAAACGTTGGCGTTTATAAGAAGCGTATTGTGGACTAAAATATATTACCAAAAGTTTTAACGTTTTAGATAGACAATTAATGTTAATTTGGTCAAAGAATGATTTAAAGATGAGTAATAAGAAACGATGCCCTTTTTCTACCAAGAAACAAGTGGCCATAACAAGGGGTGACCAGCTTTTCAGACACACACACACACACTCCCCCCGGCACCGGAGCTCAATGAAGAGCACTGAAAAGCTGGCCACCCCTTGTTATGGGCACTTGTTTCTTGGTTTTTATTGTTTTCCTTCTGGTCTGGGGCTTTTATAAATTGCTGGATGGTAGAGGAGCGGTTTTTTCTCATGGTGGTAGAATTCAGTTGCAGTTACAGCCTGTCGCCACCAGATGGGGGTCGAGAGCGGCGTGTTAGCTCTCCGCCTTGGGGCAAGATGGCTGCGCCCACTGGCTTCGCTGGGGGGGAGGGGCTGTTACTCACACGAGCAGGTCAGGGTTCAGATCAGTTCTGTTCTCTGGTCTCCCAAGGCCCTTGAATTTTGGGGTCCCCGCAGACGGAAGCTTGCCCCCCGCCCACCTCCCCACCCGTCAGCGGGTCTCCACTGAATCAGCGGCAGGAGTCCTGGATGATCCTCCGGTCGCGCGGCCCCTCCCACGCTCCTTCCCTACCCAGCCATCACAGACTCTAGGGGAGGGAGCGATTTTCTCTCCTACCGTTGTGGCGCCTCCGAAGGTGTAAAGCTAGGTTTATGATCTTCTCCTTCTTGGTATTGTAGGTCTCTAATGAGCTGGCATTATGTTTATTCTCTGAAATTCAGTTCTTCCAATCTTTTGTTGTATTTTGAAGGGGAGAGAATCCCGGGTCAGCTCACGCCGCCATTTTGCTCCGCCCACCCTCACCGAAAACCGTTATTTCAAATTAAAACATGCGGAGTCACTCACCTCACACCAGACCCAGCCAGGCGCAGAAGGCCACCTCTGGAAGGCTGGCACTTCCAGGCAAACTCCGAGGAGGGAAACGCACGGAGTCCGAGAGAAGGAAACGCAGTGGCTGCCAGGGACTTGCGGTTGGAAGAAGGGAGACTGACTGCTTCCCAGGGACAGGGTTTCTCTTGGATAAAAATGGGCGGGAACTAGATGAGGATGACGTTGGTGTGACCTTGTGAGTGTACTTCATGCCACTTCAGCGAACATTTAAAAATCCAAGAATTAAACTTTATTGAACTGACGAGATAAAATACAGGGAAAGGTCAAGTAAAGAAAAGCCAAAAACAAAACTTTAAAACCACGCAATGGATAGGGGAAGGCAAGGATTCTCCGGGGCTGCAGCGCAGGAGCTGAGGGTAGTGGCTGGGATGCTGCAAGTGCTTGCTGAAGGTCTTGAGCCGGCTGTGGCTCGGGAGATGCCTGTGCGGCTCTGAGCTGGGGGGGGCCGAGAGGGAGAGATGGTGTCGATTGCAGGGTCTTCTGGATCTTTCGGTGGAGCTGCAGCTGGAGAGGGAAGAAGAGAAAATGCCACCACATGACCGCCTGCCCAAGTCTCTCCAAAGGAAGGAAGCCTCTGCCGCCAATCAAGGAGTCTCAGTCCAAGAACCAAGCCCCCGAAAGGCTTCCCAGAGTGGAGTCCGCGGGAAGAGTGATCTGAGCCCGCCCCTTGCTCCCAGCCGAACCCCAGCCTCTGGAGACTCTGCTCTGGGGGGCGCAGCGCCATCCCCTCTGCACACGCCCACGTCCTCCTCAGCCTCAGTCTCGGCATCAGTGTGCTCAGGGTGCTCCAGCTGGGAAAGAAGAACGCGGGCACGGTGCTCCAGCTCCGAGACAGGCATATTAAGACCAACGTAGGCCAAGAGCATTTCCAGGCTGGGAACATCTGGGGGCTGGATAAAATCCTCAGGGTACCGTTGGAGCCAGGTGCCCAGAATGAAGGAGATGGCCCTGAGGACAGACAGGTGGGCAGCAGAGTCAGAGAAGGGTCGTTTCCTTGCACACTGGCCTCCCGGGCATCTCTGTGTGCTCTGGGCTCCTGGGCCTCCCGCTCCTGGCTGTCCAGGGGCCAGTCCTACTTGGCTCCACCTCCAATCTGGCAGTCTTGGCAGAGGTGGGCCAGGTCACCAAGGAGGGGCTAGGAAAACGCTTTTGCAAGGGAGAGCCCTGTGCGATGGTGGCGTCACCACTCCTAGTCCTCAGGGAAGCCTGACACACTGCTTGGAGCATCTCTCTGCCCACTGCCCACTGGAACGTCAGCTCCGTGAGGGCAGGGAACGGTGCGGTCCCCTCTTTTCATTGCCCTCCCTGGCACACAGGAGCTGCTCCCAGAATATCTGACCAGTGAGGGAACAGCGCACATTGTCTCCCGCCCAGGCTTCCCAGGGCCCTCCTCTTGCCTCCAGCTTTCCCTCCTGGGCCTACGTGCTGCCCAGTTCACCAAGTGTCCCATGAGGGTCATGCTCCCCCGCCCCGAATCTCTACCAGGGAGGGGCTTATGTGGCCCCGGAGCACTCCCCGAGCCCCCTGAGCAGGAGCTGAACACCCGCTGTTGAGGTTCTAGCAGATGAGTGAGCGGGACGCTGCAGGAACTCCCTCCAAGTGTGGACGCTGGGCGCCCTCCTAGGGATTCCAAAGCCCACTCACTTTTTCAGTTGGTCCAGGGGTCCGCCGTCCTCATCGCAGTAAGGAAGGACGCAACCCTATCAGGAAGACACAGGAGGACGTCACACGGACTGGACGGTGGATCAGGCCTGCCTGAGAAGCCTAGCGGCGCTGTCTGACTCCCGACGAGAATGGAGCCCTGGAGGGCACGGCTGCCGCCCGCTCTGTGCACGGGATTATGGTCGGTGCCTAGAAAACGTTCTGCACCTAGTGGGGACCTCTCTCTGTGTGTGATGAAGGAGGGAGCTCCAACCGGCCCCTCACTCCTGCTTGGGCGGGTCGGGGGCCTCGGCTCAGCCCAGGGATGGCTGCTCTGGCTTCACCCAGGTCAGGGACCTAGAAGGGCTCTCCCGTCTCCTTTTCCAATCGGAAGACGACAACTCAGTCCAATTCCCGGGGCGGTGAGGGATGAGGCAGAGGCTTCGCCATAGGGAAGAGGAGTATCCTCAATGAGCACAACCACAGCCCCCGCTCCAGTCGACCCTCCCAGAGGGTTAGGCTTCTCGAGAAGCCTTTGCGTGCAGCACCTCCTTGAGTCCCTACAATATCCCCTGGAGGCTGATCCTCTGTTCACCCCGCCTTGCAGAGAGCAAACCGAGGCTCCGAGAGGCTCGGAAGCCTCACAGCTAGTAGGTGGCTGAATGCCCACGGTGCTGCGGAGGGGCACGGCACTCACCTTTGAAACAGAAGCTCCAGCACCTGTTGTGTGGTGGCAAAACCTCTGTACGTGCACAGGAAGCTGCGGACGTAGGCGGTGTCGCCATCCAGGAAGGCGGGCACCAGGTGCTCCACTCGATTCTGCCGCGTTGCAGCCTGCACGGTCCACACCAGGCGTGCGGAA